CTATGATCAATCTCCGCGTCGATAACGAGCCTGTACCCTTGAGTTCCGCAAAAATCCTTAAAAGGATTTCATCATAATTAGGAAGTTCATCCTAATACCGCATCAATAATTCACACACTCGTCCTTATGAAACTCGGCAGCATTATGCCGCTGGTCTAATCTAATATTCTATTTCCTGTTCGAGTTCGAACTATTCGTGCTACAGTCAATATACGGCTTCAACAAGACTCTCTCACGTACAACAATTATTTCTATAGGATAAGAGTGATAAACCAACACACAGTTCCCCTGATAGTAAGTGAATGCTGTGGCCCATAGACATCTACATCCAGGGCCTGATTTAGCCACAGGCTAATTAGGCAGAGCCTACAGCACAAGGTTCGGAAGGACGCTGAGCTTGCCTTTGCAAGCATCACTTTTGTACAGAACTAAAATTTGGTATAATATACCCTATAAATTGTAGAGTAAGAGCCGCAAGTAGCAGGCTGTGATTAGTGGTGACGGGGATAGTGCACGTAATTCGGGGAGGGCGGGAGGTGCTCTTCAAACTAAACATGACACATTTTTTTACTGCAAAGTAATTTTTACCAACTTTAAGAGGCATTCCATCTTAATCCTCAGGAGTGACAAAGCATCTGTGGTTTGATTCTTAATTGAGGATAAATGTAGATGTCTATGGGCCACAATGCCCACTAATCATATGCAGTGCCAATAGTTTCGTGCTGGTTTTTCCCAGGACAGAGGTTTTTCCGAACCAGTGGTAATTAAATAATTTAAAAATAAAAAATTTGTACAACCGACTCCAATATAAATTATTAAGAATAACTCAAAAACTATTGGTCAGACCAAATGTATATGGGACCACATGTGAAGCACCAGCTTTCGAATAAAAAAAGAATGATCAAAATCGGTTCACCCAATAAAAAGTTATGAGGTTACACACATAAAAAAAACATAGAGTCGAATTGTGTACCGCCTCCTTTTTGAAGTCTGTAGATTACTTTCCGTTTTTTTGATTGAGAGCTTTTTCAGGATTACAATTATAATTAAAAAAATATAATTAATAATTACCTATACAGAACAATAATGATGTAATATCAAACCAGGCCCAGCATTAACTAATTTAAAGCTCCCATTAAAATAGAATGTTTTTTATTCAGATTACATGTACTAAAGGAAAGGCTCTTTAGCTTTAGTCTCAGCTTATATCTGTTGATACGTAGTATTGCAATTTGAGACATGTCGCCTAAATGGATGATACCAATGTGGGTCTTGTATGTTTGGATTATTTAAAAATATATAAACTAATTTCTATAATCATCAGATCTCGTAAAAATGTATATGATACAGTCAAAACTCATAAACGGTCAAAACCACTTTTGACTGTGAAAATCAGGCAAAAATGGTTTTGACCGATGTCAAAAACAGTTTTGACTGATTTTTGTAGTCAGAAGTGGTTTTAACCAGCGCTCTTAGTCAAACGTGGTGTTGTCTAATTTAAACTTCTGATTGTCTGTCAAAACTCGCAATACCAGTTACAGTAGGTTAAGGTGCGGCTGGGGTGGCCTATGGGCCACCCTAAAGCCGTGTATATTACAACGATATAAAATATAATATTGAATAACTTGAACTTTTTAATTTCAGAAATTCAAAATGTATACAAAAAATATTAGTCAAAAGTGGTTTAGACTAATATTGTTTGTTCAAAACCACTTTTAACCAATGTGATTTGGTCAAAACCACTATTACACAATATTTTTGCACTTAAAAATGGTTTTGACAAACGTCCTCAGTCAAAACTATTTTTGACTGCAAAAAACTGTTAAAAGTGGTATTGACCAAAATTCTTAGTCAAAACTATTTTGCCCGATTTTTTTAGTCAAAATTTGTTTTGACCCGTTATAAATTTTGACTGTGACATAATATATAATTACGGTCCCGTATAGTAAGCATACTTTGAAAGACGTAGACTCTAAATATTAAAAAAAATCAACAAACTCTTCTACGACTAGCAACTGCTAAACCTATATAAAGAATATTATTTTAGCGCTTTGAATATAAAAAAATAAGGAAGATAAATGCAGTAACTTATTAAAATAATGACAATAATAAAGTTATTTTTCTTTATTTTCAGTGAACTAATCAACGGCGTTGGTGGTGTAATGGTCAGCATAGTTGCCTTCCAAGCAGTTGATCCGGGTTCGATTCCCGGCCAACGCACGTTTTTTGTTATCTTTATGTACCTATTTGCGGATTTATGCACTATGATTTATCTTTTTATATAAAATTTCGTTTTTATACTTTTTAATTATTGTCTATTATGGACGAAATTACATTGTTTTTTCTGGAAACCATCAAAGTACCTATAATTATACAAAACTATATCCTACCGTCCTCCTGCCATCCATCCACCGCTGATACTAAGTACTCCTACCGTTGATAGTAAGTACTGTCAAGGCATTTCCATAGAGAGTACTTACTATCAACTACAACGGTAGTTACTATCAACTACCGTTGTAGTTGATAGTAAGTACTCTCTATGGAAATGCCTAATAATAAATATACAGAGGCATTAGATTTTCAACATTTATTTTTTTACTGTTCTAAATAAAAAAATTCTACATCTTTGCCAGTCTTTTGCAACTAGAACTAAAGATTTCAACGATGCAAAGGACTTACCGACTTCAAGAATATGCAAACTTAGTTAACTTATTTTTTAATCGACTTTAAAAAGGAGGAGGTTCTCAATTCGAGTGTATGTTTTTTCTTGTATGTATGTTACACGATATCTTGGCAGATTGTAAACCAATTTTACCCTTATACCACATACATACCCTTCGGCAAATTGTACAGAAGTCCAAGGAGTACAATTTGCCACTATGTCTGGCGTATGTGGACTATGAGAAAGCCTTTGATTCCGTCGAAATTTGGGCGGTGTTGCAGTCCCTTCAGCGATGCCAAGTTGACTGTCGGTATATCGAAGTGTTGAAGTGCTTGTACAGTAGGGCTATGATGGCTATCCGAGTACAGAACCAGAGTACGAAACCTATCCAATTGCAGAGAGGTGTAAGACAGGGTGACGTCATATCCCCGAAACTCTTTACCGCTGCATTGGAAGATGTTTTCAAGCTTCTGGACTGGAAAGGATACGGTATCAACATCAATGGCGAGTACATCACTCACCTTCGATTTGCCGACGATATAGTCCTTATGGCAGAATCGCTGGAGGACCTAAGCACTATGCTCAATGACCTCAATAGTGTTTCCCAACGGATAGGTCTTAAGATGAACATGGACACAACAAAGATCATGTTTAATGTCCATGTCACACCTATGCCGGTAGTTGTTGGGAACACTAAGATCGAAGTTGTTGACGAGTATGTTTACCTGGGACAAATAGTCCGACTAGGTAAGTCCAACTTCGACCGAGAGGTCAATCGACGGATTCAACTCGGTTGGGCAGCGTTCGGGAAATTACGGCACATCTTCTCGTCAGGTATACCTCAAAACTTGAAAACGAGACTGTACACCCAGTGCGTGTTGCCAGTGATGACTTACGGAACTGAGACGTGGTCCTTCACTGCTGGCCGGATGAGGAAACTCAAGGTCACTCAGCGAGCTATGGAGAGGGCTATGCTCGGAGTTTCTCTGCGTGATAAACTCAGAAATGAGGATATCCGCAGTAGAACCAGAGTGACCGACATAGCCCAACGGATTAGTAAGCTGAAGTGGCAATGGGCCGGCCATATAGCTCGAAGAACCGACAACCGATGGGGAAGAAAGGTTCTCGAGTGGCAGCCTCGTACCGGCAGGCGAAGTGTAGGGCGTCCCCCCACTAGATGGAGTGACGACCTGGTAAGATATGCAGGAAGTCGATGGATGCAGGTGGCTCAGGACCGTGCTTTGTGGCATTCTTTGGGGGAGGCCTATGTTCAGCAGTGGACTTGTGAAGGGCTGTAATGATGATGATGATGATGATGAATGTCTCACTCCACAGGTCCAACTGATGACAGTGTGAAACATAACAAATGCACGAAGATGATGGTAAACATGGGCAAATCCTTGGTAGACCTTATCGTATTATATCTGTAGAAAATGGTGTTGGTTTAACTGGGGAAGAACCACGCTCAGAACAGTAATGAAAGAGCAAAAGTTAGTGCTACTGTGTTTTGTACGGTGAGTGATGAAACTTGGATACCGTTACTAGTAAAAAGGCCTTCTGTCTTAGTCAGGTTTTTTTTAAAGAATAAGGGTGACAAATGAGCACGCAGTCCATCTCATGGAAAGTTAACGCTGCTGTGGCTTATAGACATCTACATTTATACTTGATTCGGAATCAAAATGAAGATATACGTCACCACCCCTGAAGGCTAAGATGGAAACCTCGTTTTTAATAAAAAGGGTCTTCGATACTGTACACTCTCCATACGAAACACAGCAGCATTAAGCTGCTATTCTGTGAGAAGTAGTTCTAATCCTGTCTTACCCAACCGTACAGCAGATATATTCGTGCTACGACCATAATAAAGCTGCAGCTTAGCTCAACCACGTTTACATCTCTGTGTTTGGATTCTTAATCGCAGATAGATGAAGAATGACTATTCTATTATTGTCATGTGAGAATTAACAGAATGTAAACACCCCACATTTGGACTTGCCAGCGCAACTGACCTCTTACACAGTTAAAATTATTGGTGACCCGTCAAGTATTTTCTACTATCAAGTTTTTTTTTAAAACCTTCACACACTGATTTTCTCCTGTATCGTGCGAGTTTGCATACATACATTTCACAAGCGCAAACAATCACACCTAAAACAATTATTTATAAATCATTGTTGGGAATAAGGGTGAAAAATAAAAGGAAATACGAACAAATGAAGGAAGGTAAACTCCCACTTGTTCTCGCAGTATAAAGTATCGCGCAGGCGACTAAGAGTAATCAGATGGTAATTCTTTGATTCTCATTGTCGTTATTATTCCCGTTGGGCTAAAACATTACCTCTACACTGAGATTCTGCCTAAGTAAGACGAGCGACTTGACTCTGTTCGTTATAGTAGTTCTTATAGTGTAAGCAAGGAAGATCATATTGCTGTGAGACTGCTGCCCTGTGTTACATTGAGATGAGTAGGGTTGTATACTTTGTAATTATTTGGGTCCTAATAATAAGCAGGGTTTGTTACCGAGTAGTGTTCTTTTATTTAAATAATTTTGAGAATAATTTCTGACATAAGAAATGGAATAGTTTCTAATACCATACAAACACTTATTACGTGTGGAATTCGAACCCGCGGCCCTTTAGCGCTGCAACTCTGCGCCACAGAGCCTTCAAGTATTTTAAATTTAAAATAATATGTCAACAAGCTGGCCATATAACTCGAAGAACCCAAAACCGAGAAGAAAGAAACGTTGAGACATCCCCGCATGACATTCGTAAAGAGAATATCCGCAGAAGAGCAAGAGTAACTGACGTAAAATTTATATCATAACCAAATAATCATAACATAAATATCATAAGCAAGTACATAATATATAATTTAGTTACATTATTTTTATTAAATGACAATACAATTTACGAGAAGCATTCTAATAAAATTATAATATAGAAAATAAATAAATTGCAGACAGATTTATACCTCAGTTTCACCTCAGTTTTATTTATATACTTTTTTTTATAGGAGAGGGGGCAAACGAGCATGCGGCTCACCTGATGGTAAGTGACTACCGCCGCCCATGAACAACCGCAACACCAGGGGAATTGCAGATGCGTTGCCGGCCTTTTAAAAAGGAGTAGGCTCTTTTCTTGAAGGTCCCTAAGTCGTATCGGTCCGGAAAAATCGCTGGTGGTAAACTATTCCACAAGGAAGTTGTGCGAGGAAGAAAACATCTTTTAATTTAACTGTAGTGTAGTACATTTAATTGTATCTATAATATTTGTATACTTAAGGTTTGAAATTTGAATGCAGTGAAAGTAATTGTTTCTAAGATCTATTCTGTCTCATTATAGTCTGTTCGCTTAGTTGGCTTAGGTACGGTCGCCTTTCCCCCACGAACGGGTTCCCGCCTTGTCGTGGCGGGGGGGCTTAGTAGCCGTGGCTTGGTCAACCACGGTGAACGAAGAGGAACCCCTTGGCTGGCCCGAGGTGTAGGGCCGGCCCGAGGTGGCCACTCCAAGTGGGCTTGGCGAGCCCACTTCGGATGTGTGTCGGGGGGCTGCGGTGAGAGGGGAGTCCGCACCCTCTACCGCTGCAGCCGAGGTGGAGTCGCGGAGGAAGAGGAGTGTTGGTATGGCGATGCGTCACTCGCCCTATCCTCCGCGACTCAGACGGGGCCGCACCGTAAATTGATGCGGTGGTGGTGGGGCTGCGGGGGGAGAGGAGTGCCGGTATTGCAGGGCGCCGCGCTCCCCCTACCTCCGCAGCCGAATCTTGGTTGGTGGCGGAGCCATAGACCAGATCCGCCGCTGGGGTCAGGAAGGCTAGTGCTTCTGAGTGCTAGTTTTTCCTGGCTCCATGGCCTTCGCGCATCGGACACGGGGGTGTCCGATGCGCATGTGGAATTGGAGGCCGAGGAGGAGGGCGCGCCATGTGTTCTGGTGCGCCTTACCTGAGGAGGAGATGTGGGAGGAGTAGTCCTCTCCCGAGGGGAGGCCGCCATGGGACGGCCAACGCAGGTGGGGCCGCGGATGTGTGCGAAAGCGTTCCCGTGGCCCTGCCAATATGCGACGAAGGTGGAACACCGTGGGATTTTAGTCGGTGCGAGTCCGACATAACCCGTCTTTGCCCCCGCGAGGCGGGTATGCGTAGGCATTTCCAAATGTAAAAAAAAAGTACGGTCGCTTTTATATCGCGCTGCCTGGGCTTGTGCCGCATCTTGTCAAAGGCGCCGCTGCGACATCAAAGCTAACCGCGTGCAGCGTACAACCACAGGAAAATTTGGCACTTTAAAACGAAGCGCTGTAGTGAAAGGTTCATTACTACCTAACTTGTGTTTATTATTTATATTCATATTTTATTACATTAAAGCATAAAAATAAAATAGTATTCTATTTTGTACTTACAATCGAAAAACATTTACTGAACAAACGCAGTAAAAAGTAATAAAATAAAAGCAAAATAAGAAGTGTGCCTCCAGCGGTAACACTATCTCAACAAACAGACTATACGTTTATTACGTATTCACAAATAAAAATAAATTGAAATCAACGACTAAGTATATCTCGACTGAGAGCGAAGAAAGGTTCTCGAGTGGCAGCATCGAATTATAAAGCGCAGTGCTTGGCTATAACCCACTATATGCGGTGATAACTGACGACCCGATGAAACATGCAGATAGTTGAGGGATGTGGTTCAGGAACGTACATTGTGGCAACCTCTGGGGGAGGTCTATGTTCAGCAGTGGACTGGTGATGGGCTCTAGTGACAGTGATAATATGGAATTGTACCACTGCCGTGGGGTGGTGACTGAAGAGATCTCATCACACCATTACGTCTTGTGGGTGTCGTAGGAGGTGATTATAGTAATGCCAAAAAGGTCCCATGACTTTCAATACATAGTATACTCAGACCAACATCGGGTTTTATCATTTACGGTGTGAGATGTCCAGTACTGCGATTGCCAAACCGCTTGCCAAGCATGGCGATAAAAGCAAGTCCTCTCTACAACAGAGGTCCATAGCCAGCGGTGAACTTTTAATAGATGAAGTTGTAGAAAACTAAAATGCAAAGTACCTTTTTTAAATAGAATAAGACTGACAAACGAGTTAACAGCCTCCCTGATAGTATGTGGATGTTGTGGCCCATAGGCATCTACATTTATCCTCGTTTAAGAATGAAAATGCAGATACGTTGTCACCCCTGAAAACTGAGATGGAATGCCTCGTTTCCAGTAAAAAGTGTATCCAGTTCTCTACACTCACTATACGAAACATAGCAGCATTAATTGCTTAGTATTTATAATGTTAATAAAATAATAACATTTTGTGACATTTCATTGCGTTTAATCATTTTTTTCCTTTTTTATTTGTGATATAAGAAAAGCCTATTCATTTTAAGAGATTTCCTATTTTTACGGAACTCCTGTATTAAAAATTAAATTTTAAGTTACAGATATTGTATACAGACCTGCCCCCATTAGTGAGAAAAAAGATGTTTTACTTCTGTAAATAATTAAAAATTAAAAATTTTGTACAACCGACTTCAATGCACATTATTAACAATAACACAAAAACTATTCATATTCATATTATTTATTGCATCCATAATGTTACAGTTAAGGTGTTGAGAACATTTTAAATTTTAACCTAAAACTATGAGATCATTATGGGCCCTGCAGGGCTCGGCAATTAAGAAAGAGGAGGGCCATTATAATGAAATAATAATGATAAATACACTTTGAAATAAAAATAGAATTAACATAGTAGGTAGGTATTTAAAATTTATCATGTATTCGTGAGAGCGTGGTCCTACGCCGTCCGAGCCGACCCACAGAGTACATTATATATTACAGAGCCGACCGATTCGTGCTACAACCATAATACAGCGTGGCTCTACCACGTACCCAAAGAGAATATAATCACTACGTTTAACGTACCTACTAAAATGCTTTAATCCTTTACACTATGTCTTAGTGCCTACTTCTAATAATATAGCGATAATAATAGCGAAGTAATTGACCTATTTTATTCGTACAATTGTAATTTTTTATTTGTTTATAATATATTTTACACTATTAATAAATTTTAACTGATGGATGATGATTGAACAAGTGGTAAAATTAAGAAAAGTACAACCGACTTCAGTATAAATAAGATGAGAACATCACCAACGTAGTCGAAGTCAATTAAATACATTAATTGTAACTCAAAAACTACTCGTCAGATCTTGAATAAATTTATATGGAACAACATGAGAAGCACCAGCTTTAAAAAAAAGAGTTACCAAAATTTTGTCACATAGAAAAAAGTCCTGAGGTCCTTACACATAGGCACAGAAGTCCTTACACACATAAATAATTTAAAAAAAATGAAGTCGAATTGACTGCCTCCTCCTTTTTTAAGTCGTTTAAAAATGGACCCTCACACATTATTTTTTTATTTTTTTTTTCTTAAAAAAAGTTACCCTCGTACTAGGATTTTCTCCTGTGTCGTAGAGGCAGTTTACAAACATAAATTGCACGAGGACAAACATCCAGACTCGTAACAATTATTTGTAGGCCGTACAAATACTTGTTCCGTGCGGGATTCGAACCCGCAGCCCCCAGCGCAACAACTCATTGCTAAGCCACTGCGCCACGCAGCCGTCAAATAAATATATAGTAAATTAATCCGTTACAGCGTGTTAAAGTCCACTGCTGAATATAGTCCCCCATAGGTTGCACCACAAAAAGGATATTAGCCCCAGTTTCTTGGTGGGTTGGCAAGCACATTTTTTTATTTTCTTGTTTATATTAAAAAGAAGATGCTACCCATCTCTTGATTCCCCCAAGTCACGTCTTACGACACCCCCTACACGATATGTGGTGGTGGAAAGTCTAACACAGTGACTGTGTATTGCATGATGCATTAAATAATTGTTTTTCATTCTTGTTAGTATCGGCGTTGGTGGTGTAATGGTCAGCATAGTTGCCTTCCAAGCAGTTGATCCGGGTTCGATTCCCGGCCAACGCACACTTTTTATTTATGAACAGCGTAAGAAAAGTAAAGTTTAAGCCTATTTATTTCCCTCTACTGGACACAGGCCTTCCCTCATTTCTAAGAGGGTTCGAGGGCAAGAACCGCACTGCCCGAATGCGTTTTGGCGGACTTTACATATCTTCAAAATATTTTTTACTTATTTCTCAGACATGCGGATGTCCCCGCGATGTTATGCTCCATCGCCGAGCTCGTGGTAAATTAGCACTTATAATATCAATCAACAATTCCATTGGTGCCGGCGAGATTCGAAGCAGCCTTGCTCGCATTTACAGAGAGCGCTTAGCCCTACAATGGCTCTGTCACAGCGTGGTTCATTCAAAGACTTTCATTTTGCAGCTCGAGAATAAGTAAGGATATCCACTACCCCATATCGTTGTGATGGTGTCGTAAGAAG